TTTTTAGAGACCACCTACGACAGACAGGTATAAACTTAATCGTAATGCATGTATGGGGAGAAAAGGGTGGGCTAATCTTAGTGTAGTGTGCAAAGATAGTGGTGGTATGGTTGTTTTTGCCGCTATAAAGAGAATACCCACTCCAAGATCAAATAAGGTGGCAAAAACTTTAACAATGTGCTATAGTCTAAATATGGTGTCTTAGTTGGGTCTTTTGGGTTTAATGGGGGAGGGAGATTCTCAGCATGTTATGCACTACTCACTTCATCAATTGGAACTTAGTTTATTAATTGATGATTTCTTTTCTTTATCTCAATTATGTAATGTTCCTGTGGGTTGCAATTTGATGGCTTATACTTTAACAAATAAAGCTTGTTGTAATCCAGATGATCATTTTATGATGTAGGACCATCTCTCTTCTTTACTCCCCTTTAGTAGAAGGATTCTTCTCATCTAGTTTAACTGAATAAATTTTCAACTTTTTTTAAAAAATAAATAAATAATAAATCAGTTTCATTTTTATTTATTTATTATTATAGTGAGAATAAAATTAAATTACCAAATCACTGGTCTACAAATACTACATAGAGATTAAGTTTGCTTTGCTGAAAGAAAAGATTATGTTTGGTGTGCCAAGTTAATTTTTATTTATTTTTTAGTAACTATTCTTTAACAGTATAGTTGATACTTTCATCTCTCTCTATAAGAGCAAAATTTGAGTTTCAAAACTGTCCATCCTGTGCATTCTCGTTCATATTTGTGTTGTTATATGTATGAATTTTTATATAAATTAAAAAGAAATTACTTTATTTTCTACAAGTTGGCTTTCCTGTTTGGTGTTCATAATTAATTTTTTCAACTACTACAACTTCTCTGTTTTAACAAGAAACTACAACACCAGCAACTTCAAACTGTGTCAGTAGTAACCATAAACTATATCACGACAAATATCATACAGTTCAGTAGAAACTTTCAGATAATAATAAAGTATACACATACATATATATATGTATATATTTCCCCACCTACTACGTAACTGGGACCTGTCCACATAATGAGATAAAAACATCATTCTTGTAAATAAAAGCAATTCTAGATAAATAAAGATAGAAAATAATTAGGAAAGACTTGGCATATAAATTGGAAACAAGGACAACATACGCACAGTACCTACAGATAAAAAGGATGGCTTCTAAACCAGGAATCCTGACGGACTGGCCTTGGAAGCGTCTAGGGAATTTTAAGGTTTTATTACTTAATTTACTAGGCTCTTTTTTTCTCTTTTAGTTTCGCGTATAGGCTCTTTGCTTTTTTTTTTTTTTTTTTTGGTTTTCTTTTCAAATAAGTTTCACTTATAAACGTCTTAAAAAAACATAGTATACATATATATATATATATAACTCTGTAGTCAGTATCCATTTTGGTCCCAAATTACACAGGAATAAGGATAGAGAATAAGGCCTCGATGAGATTTGGGCATGGAGAGTGGGACGAGTAGGACACTCTCCCATCTCGTTGTCATTCCTAATAATATATATATATATAGAAAATGAGTAAAGTAATGAATGGATGTGGTGCAGTACTTGATATTGGCTCCATGGGTGGTGCATAGCGTGTACTCCTTCTGCGTAAAAGGAGAGAAGGAAAGGGACGTCACCAACTTGTTAGTGTTCCCTTTTCTCCTCACAAGATTTCTTCATCACCAAATCTGGATTACTGTTTCTCGATATTGGACTGCAAAAGGCGATAACAAGATTGTCGAGAAGCCGATTGAGTTCGACCAAGTCGACAGAGAAAGCAACTGGTACGTAAACGTTAATTAGTTAATTGAATTGTTCTTGATGCATATCCTTATAATAGTGTATGTTCATATATATATATATGTATATATGTGTATGTGGGTGTGTTATGATAGGGATGACCAAATCATATTGACGGGGCTAGGGTATTACATAGTGAACAAGACACTGGCAGGGGCAAGTCGGTTGCCGATTTGGAATACAAACGGAGTTGTAATTACAGCTTCATTGCATGCTGGTCCTGTTGAGTTTCTCTACTACTGGCTGCATCGAGCACTTCACCATCATTTTCTATACTCTCGCTACCATTCTCATCATCATTCTTCTATCGTCACTCAGCCCGTTACAGGTCAAAATATATACATCTTCATCCAAATATATATGAGAATTTTAATGGTATAGAGAAGACTAGGCGCAAATGAATCTATCATGTATGGTTTGGCATGCAGCTATTATCCATCCATTTGCAGAACATGTAATGTATTACATTCTGTTTGCAATCCCCTTAATGACATCGGTGTTGAGTGGAACGGCGTGCATGGTGTCGGTTTTCGGATACGTGACCTACATTGATTTCATGAACAACATGGGACACTGCAATGTCGAGATCGTTCCCAACTCTCTCTTCTCCTTCTTTCCACTTCTCAAGTACCTCATGTACACACCCTCGTAAGTAATTACGATTATATAGTTATCAGTTAAACAAATTATTAACTTAGTTCTCTAATTAGGGATTATGTTTTAATTTTATACTATTAGTATTTTTCATTTGGATTATTTTAATGTTAAAAGTACAAGATTTTTTAAAAATTAGAAAGAAATTTTGTTAAAGTAACAAAATTTCTCTCTCTTAATATGGAATGAAATAAAAGTGACTTATAAAATATAATATCTCTAAGTAGAATTTTATAATTAATAAAAATTGTAAAGATCAGTTATTGCTGATCCTTCCTTATTTCCTAATGAATGCTATTATCAATTATATTGTTAAATAAAATAAATTAATTGTTTCCATTAAGTTTATTGAGTTTTATATTTAATTGTTATGATTTTTAAACTTTACATAAAAAAAATATTCTGTAAAATTAAAAAAAAAATTGTTCTTAATTGTACGAAAAGATCATGAATCAAACAATTTTGTAAGCTTAAGTAATAAATTGTACAGATTTCACTCCCTTCATCACAACCAATTTCGGACAAACTACTCCCTCTTCATGCCCATGTACGATTACCTATATGGCACGGCCGATAGGTCCTCGGATTTTACCTATCGAGCTTCATTACAAAAGCGACAAGACTCACCAGATGTGGTCCACTTATCGCATCTCACAACACCAAACTCCATTTACCATATGCGTCTTGGATTTATTTCCCTTGCCTCTAAACCTCTCTCCTCCCAAGCCTTACTCTTCCTTTTATGGCCCATCACTATACTCTTCAACTTCATTTTCAATCGTGCTTTTCTTTTAGAGACCAACACCTTCCACAACCTCAAATTGCAGTCTTGGCTAATACCCAGATACAAAAAACAGGTAAGATATATATAACTGTTATATATATACACATATTATATGTCTACTTTCATGCATGCTTATGTATAAACTTGTATACCTTCAGTATTTATTACAAGGACATAGACAAGATATTAATACCATGATTGAAGAAGCTATATTAGATGCAGACAGTAAAGGGGTTACGGTGTTAAGTTTAGGTCTCTTCAACCAGGCAAGTTTTTCTTTGTTTTTTGGACTTGTGATTCTTTTTAGTCCTTGTGTAAATAAAAATTACATTTATAACATGCTTACAAATAAAATGTTATATGTGAATTAAGAGTGATGAATTGAACAAAAATGGAGAGATATACATTCAAAAGCATCCACATTTGAAAATAAAGATGATCGATGGAACTAGTCTAGCAGCAGCAGTTGTGCTTAATAGCATACCGAAAGGAACAACTCGCGTGCTCCTTGCAGGCAAGCTCACAAAAGTTGCTTGTGCAGTTGCCTCCAATTTATGCCGAAAGGGAATACAGGTAGGTACAATATTTCCACTCAAAACCCTAAAAACAAAAATGAATATTCCAAAGTTTCTATGGGTTGATTAATATATACTTCTTTTTTTATATATTAATGTACAACCAGGTTGCATCGTTGGATGAGCAAGATTATATCAAGTTTAAGCTCAGTAAAAAGTTTGGGTCTAATTTGGTCTTTGCAACGACTTATGATGATCATTTGGTAATAATACTTCCAAAATCCAAGAAATAACCCTTTTTTTCTTTAAAATTACATGGATACATGTTAACTAACTCATCTAGTCATCTATGATTATATGGTAGAAATATATAGTTGGATCTAGGTTTGATTAAGTTAGGGTGACAGGTATGGTTGGTGGGAGATGGAATAAGCAAAAAAGAACAAATGAAGGCAGCCAAAGGAACATTATTCATTCCTTTCTCTCAGCTCCCAACAGAAAAATTACGCAGAGATTGTCACTACCATAGCACACCTGCCATGATGACACCTAACTCGCTTCTTAATCTCCACTCCTGCGAGGTTTCTTCAAAATTACTAATTACTTTCATGCTAATATTCTGAAAATCATTAATTTCTGATTTACATATATAAATATATATGAGCAGAACTGGCTGCCAAGAAGGGCAATGAGTGCATGGCGAGTGGCTGGAATAATTCACGCTTTAGAAGAATGGAAGGTCCATGAGTGCGGGGATTCGGTGTTTAACATTGACCAAAT